CGTTCTTTTGGTAGGCTGTCCGGCGTGACGTGCCTACGTGCGCCTCGGCCATCGCTCCTTGCGGCTGCTCAACACACTTGCTACCTGGTTGATCCTGCCAGTAGTCATATGCTTGTCTCAAAGACTAAGCCATGCACGTCTGAGTGTGAACACTTTGCACCGCTCGATTTTTTTCGGTCGTTGAATTTTCGAACCGTTGCGTGGACCTCCTCGCGCCAGCTAGTGTTTCACGATTTTCTCGCCTGTACTGGGGTTTGACCGCCCCCGTTGACGTGACATGTGCCATGTCGGCTATGTCACTCTCGTGGATGCAGGTCAGGTCATGGCGAGGAGTTTGTGTGTGGGGCGCCTGGGCTTCGGTGCCCGACTCCCATGGCAACGACCGGTTATGGGAGGCGGGTGTATGGTAGAACATAGTTAGGAGAGTGAGGAGGGAGTGTGCAAGGAAGGAGGTCGTGCAGGCGGGTGGGCGTGGAGCTTTCTTCGCGCTCAGAGACCTGGCCTGCAGAACAGAAGGCGACGGGGGTAACTAGTCTACTTGTGTGGGTCGTCTTGCTGACTAGCCGACCCCGGTCACGGGGAGTCCCGCGGTTATTGTTCCGCTTTTGGAGTGCGGGTGCGGCTTACGAAGAGGGGACGGGAGGCGAGTTTGGGTGGGGGGTGTTACAAATTGGTTTTCTTTTTTTTTTTTTGCGACTTTCTTTTGGTCAAATAGGTGTTGGGTGAACGAGATGGAAGCACACCGAGAGGGTTTGATGCAGATGATCCGTCGGGCTTTCCTTTTAGGGCTCCARCTCCGACCCCCAGATCTGCTATCCTTTACCATCGAAGGGGGGACGGCAGTCGCGCGACTGGCYCCTGATTTGGGGTATTTACTGAYGAYGTACGCGCRGGCTCATGCAGTAGTGCTCAAGCTCCCAGAAGTAGTGGCGCCCTGGTCACGACGTAYGAAGAAGGCATGGATGACGGCGCGCGAAGACCTGTGGTTAATGGGTAKGGGTCCGTGGAAGGGGATGATTGACATAGAGGGCTCGCGGACGATCATCTATATGGCGCCCTCCACGGAGGTGAGGGACTGGCTCATACATGAACGGAAGGTGGAGTCTATAYTGGTGRRAGATGTTGGTCATGAAGTACAACTGGTCCCATGGYGAACGCCTGCRGAAATRGAGTTTCAGCGKGAGGAGGAGAAACGACAGCGGCCATGGGTCAAAGTGTTCAGCCCCCCCTCCTTTTTGGTCCCTCTCGAAGAACAGATGGTGCAACAACTTTTTGGCGAGATTGTTTCTATAGCCCTCTTCTGTGAATAAGAAAGGGAATATCCGAGGTATGTGGTTAGGGGCCCACTAAAGATGCGCCAGGTTGAGAGGGTAACTGTGGCTTTTGGGCCTACGACTACGCAGGAGTTTCGCTTTATTACGAGCGAAACTCCATTTTGCGACGTCTGTTTTACCCATGGGCATTTGGGACGGGAAGGCCGATGCCTTTCCAGGGCGGAATCAGCCAGAGAGCTGCAGGAGAAGGAGATACGCCGGCGAATGGACCCCATTTTAGCGTCGAATGTGGAAGAGGAAAGGCGAGCCTGGAGGGAGATCGAGCAGCGATACGATG